GGGTACAACTAATCGCTGATCGCGTCATAATTACATTTCGCGCGTCTCAATGTGCACGGAGAATTCGAAGAAATCGTAAAACTATGTAATTTTATCGCGGATGGAATTTCCGATGTATCATAAGCGTAAGTTGACTCGTTTGCTCTATCGACAAATTTTACAAATATTTCGGAAAGTATCGAGAACGCAAGAATCCGGGTTCTGTAACAGATGTAAAAAGAAATCGAAAATCAACCTGTTTGTGTCTGTCAGTTCACTCGCTCTGCTGATAAGAGTCAGAAAAATTGCGCGCACGAATACGCCAATGACGCGAATGTGTTAAACAATAAAACTAAACGAGTAAGTATAATTTCGTGTCCATCTAGATAAAGAACGATATTGTTTCCGTGTTTATTTGCCGCAAACTTTCCGCGAGAACGAAATTTCCGGAAGCAGACATTTTGTTTGGCCTAGTAGCTACGAGGTAAATTCCGACGCGTACTTTACTCCTCCTTATCGACCTTCGTGCGTGTTATCGAAGCACATCGAGCATATTTGGTCGAATTTAGCGAATTTAGGTCGACGTAGAGGCTACGAAGTGTAGGAAGCGTTGGATAAAGTTGGAGCAAGCCTCGACTACGATCTGCGAATTTAAATGGCGGTTCGCGCAGGTAAGAAACGGTAGCTGACATTCACGAGCGTGTAAGGTCGCGTTCGTAGCGCTGCAACATTTTATCGCGGATCGCACTTAAAACTCTCGAGGTCTATTTTAATAGAACTCGAGACCCGGGCAACACGTTCAGAGGCAAATAAACACGTGTACCTATGTATGCCGGGGGTTCGTTCTCGAGAGGGAACAAGTGGCGAATGCTGTTCGGATAATGCTCGAGATTATCCGAAAGCTCGAGACGCGAGTTAGACGCGAATAAAAGGCTGATGGAAAAGTAAAATGGTGTCTCGCGCGAAACGTCACGCTTGTAATCTAACGTAACGGGAAGAAGGAAATATTTCGTCACCTGGCAATCGTGCTACGATAACGCGATATTTACCTACCGACTATGATAGGCGCCTTAATTAACGACTATGCTTCACCGGGTATGAAAATAAAACGCGAAACGTCTGATACAGATATTACAAAATCAAAAACGAATTGCGCGTAGATTAAACGTAGATTCAGGTGTGTTCGACGTTACCGTTTCGCGGTTGTTCGCGTTGTAACTCGGAAATATAATGGTGAAATGATCATCGGATGGGAACTGGTCCTCGTTCGGAATACAGTGGACCAGCGGTCTAATGAAAATTAATAGACGGACCTGGGCGCAGCAGGTATTATGATAATTCGTTTAAATTAGCCCAGGTAAACATCGAAATGGAAAGTTATGCAACGAGGTAAACGGGATCGCCTTCGTCGCGCGCATCGACGAACGCCATGGGTCGCGACATTATTTACGGGGATGCAATTATGTTACACGTATACCTGCGGCCAGTTGCCTCTGTTATTCTAATTTACCATGAAGCAACGCATACCGGTGTTTATGTGGATTACAGTTCGGTTCCGATAATAATAGATATCGTTTGTCGCTTCGGCGCTGCTTACAAAATCGTGTGAAACCCAACGTGTCCTACGGCCTGTATTTTCATCGTCGATGCAACGCGAATCTACGCGAAAATTAATCGACCCACGCACCGATCCAGTCCTCTGAAATATTTGGCGGTTCGCCTACTCGGAATTTGCTTTCTTCGTGGCAAACGTATCGGAGCAATGCTTGGTTGAATAATATCAAACCAATTCGACTTTCCATTCTGAAAACGACGGAGAATCGACCTATATTTCGAAGAATCTACGCCACTGCGCGAATAAAATGCATCGGGAACCCCGTCTCCCGTAGCCGCCATCTTTCGCTGAACTTTCAGCGAACCGTGAGAGGCTTAATTATTCGGAATAACAAATGCCGAATCGATTGTTTCGCTGGAAATCTTACATCGTTCTCGCCAATTAGTCTATCGTTCGCACGAACGGTTATCCGTTTAATTATTCAGTTGCACCTGATTACTCCAGAAGTTCAAATCCGATACCGATTAACCTACAGGACAAACACCGGGATCCAAACATGGCTTCGCGCCGAAACTGTTTAACTCTAACACCAGCCTTTAACTTCGACTCTAGCGAGCATTCATGCTACTAAAGAGATCTCATTGTTTCGGCGGTAACGCGAGGAAAAATCGAAACGAGTATATTTAATGTAGCGGAGAAAATACGGGGAAAATAGGAGTGAAGATAGAGGGAGGGATAACGCATAATTTTTCACTCAGAAATAATAATCATGGTTGACCGAAGTAGTTGCTCGAATAAACAGCGCCCTCTACAAAGCTTCCCGTACGCTTTTACGAGTCCTATACGCGAGACGTTCCGCGTTTACTTCGAACCGATCTTCCGACAAATATGAAATCAAAAAACAAGTATATTTACCCTTAGCCCTACGACCGATCCTCTCGAAAAGACTGCCTCTGGTTACCCTTACGACGTTCCACGAACGGCACACAAGATCCTCGAAGAAGAAAAGTCGTACGACAAATAACGAAACATTGGAATTCCTCTTTGATCTCGACTCGTGTCTCGATTATTTTTGCGCCTTTTCGGTAAACCGAATGGCGGTACGGTTGCACGAGAATCTTTGGTACTTACAACGTTGCTCCTCGTTACCGACCGCATTATTCTATTGTTCCATTGTTCTATTGTGGCTAGTTATAGTACAGTTATAAATAACGCGCTAACAAATTTCTTCGTGCGGCAAATATTGGCATGAATTTATCCGTGTCTCTACGGTACACGTACTATACGTATATACGTATATTCGCAACGCTATTGGCATTTGCGTTGCATCCGACGTAGCGAGTATGCTGTTTGGTTAGAACGGAATATAAGAATCGACGTTGATGTAACGTCGATAATGCAGGTAGTCTAAGTTATTGGTAAGCATAACGATACGGTTGAAGTTTTCGGGAGAATTTCGAGACGCAATAATCGTACAGTGACCCCTCTGCGTTTCGTAATTAACGCTTCGCGTTACATTGCCATGGTTTACTCGAAAGTTCGATGCACCGAACGACGTCCATATTTCGGCCATATTTTTTCCGGAAAGATGATTTATAATTCGAACGGAAAAACGTTAGAACGACTTATTGGTTAGAACCGTGATATTATTTGACATTGATCTTTACAATAGCGACGAATATTCCGGTAAATACGAAAATGAGTGTCGTTCGATGTAATAGGAAAGAAATAATAGCGTGGAAAGTACATACCTTTTTGATGGCTTCCAGCGCCGCTTCAAAACTCCCAGCATGAGTAAACCGATGTAAACGAGGCCCAGGTGCCAACGGGTTTCCGACACCCAAGAGCGTATCAAGCACCACCACCAAAACCAATCACCACACAACCACCGGTCAACCTCGTCGATCTTTCCGAAAGATCAGTCTAATCACTCGAGTCACACCATGATCGTTCACTGCGTACTTTCTTATTTCGCACGATTATCGACGTACCGCGACCAGCTTGATACTCGATCGATCGATGCTCGCGGATTCGCTGTAAAACAATCAGACGAACCCTCTAATTGGTCCACTGATTCGCGCGGGAAGCTTCCCTATTCGCGAAAAAATCAATGGTCGAACGAAACTACCAATCGTAGCGTCTCCACCGAAATTCCTAGCAACTAACCTAACAATTAGTTCGAATAGATTAAAATCATGGAATCCATTATCGATCGTTTTTCATGTACAGGAAATTCAACGACGTTCTTTGTGTACCGTGAATTATTATTAATGTTTTCTTATCGACGTGTGCGAAACTTTTTCCTCGAGGGGTCGACGACAAGAAAACTTTCGAGCTCGACTAGCAAAGAATCTCTACACGGTTTCTGTGATCCGTTAACGCATAATAGGGTCTTTGCACGTCAATACGGGTGAACGTCCTGTGATCGTATTTCGATGTAAGAAAGAGAAGAAACGCGTTAATAGCGTTAACGTGTTGATTTCGAAAAAATATGGCAAGAAGGATTAACGAGAAGACCGTGTTGACGCTATTCGTTGTCCGTCTTATCGATAAACAGTCATCGACTCGACGCAATTGAAATCACGTGTATCTTCGTCGACATATTTATATTCGAACAAGGAAAGTAAATTAGTTAGAAAATAATCAATTCATTACAGAATTTATATTTCAAGGAAATATAAATCTCGTTTGATGTTTTCAGGTAGAAGAAATTATTACATCTCCGAGTTATTTTGCCAATAACGTAACTACTTCTACATGCATTTATCATGTGTGGTCTTCAACGATTACGAGGTAAACGTGTAGGATATAGATATTCCGATATACGAAATCGATTAATTATTACTTTCTGTCTTTTAGCGAGGAAGGCTTATTAACGATGTCGCTGTCAAATAACGAGAATTCTCATGACGGTAGACATCTCCGCAAATGTCCAACGTTACTGTATACGGGGTATGTATGCCACTGATTAATTAGCTGCCAATGATGTCAGCGGTACCTAGATCCCCTGATTAATAGTCTGTACGAAATAATAAATTACGGATGGAGATAATGAAGGCAATAATTAACTTGAACTTTTCAGAAAAACCTCAGGAAAACCCGCTCTTGGAATCTGATCCCCGAGGGTTTTTCCGTAATTACTACAGCCGAAAATCTTATCGGTATCGTAACATCTTTGGGTATAATCTACGTAACATCGTAAAAGCGATGCGAAATCCACGCACTAAGAATGCTATCTCCAATTATATAGCGACAAATTTAATCGCGTCACTCGTTCGTTTATTTATTCCGTTGCACTAATTACCAGATGCAATGATACGTCTTAAGAAATACGCAGTCGTAGCAAAGATGCTTCTCGATCAAAATACTATCCATAAAAAAATTCCATAACGACAAAAAAACACAGAAACACGAACGAGTCGCGTTTAGAAAAGAAACTGCGTGCTACGTATCCGAATGGCACAGCTCAAAGACGCAGATGAATCGTTGCTTCGAGAACGTGTGTCCACCGATCGATATTTCAGAGCAATCTACGTTGACAACATTCGCGTTCAAGAAGTATCCTGTGATGTATAACGAAGGTCGAAGAAGCCTCGGTAGGTCAATGTAGCAAGCGAGTCGTTCGCGCGGAAACGTTGCTAGCAAAACAAACCCCTTACGTTTCTCCTGCACGTCCAATGAATCACTGTTTCTTTGGGGAGTTACGACGAACAATTTACCATCGATCGCTATACGACACCGGCGTAGATCGGCGTACAGGATGAAATTTTGCCCGGATCGACGAAATCCAAACAACCGCTTTCGAGCAAAGACCACACAAGCTCGTAGAAACGCGTGAGACGATATGAGACGCTACGAATTGATACTAGTTACCAACGTTTTCGAAATTCGACCCGGTGACCGCGTTCTGAATGATGGAGGACGCGAAAACACTGGAGGTCGACAACGTATCGACGCGAGTCGCGGAGAAGAGACGAGCGTCGATCAGGCGGAAGTCGCGCGCGGGACACACAACACGAACCGGCTGCGCGCCGAACTCGAACTGAACTAAAGACAGAGATGGCAGACACGCGGTGGTGTACTCCTTCCCGGCAGCTCGCCGGGCTCCTCGCTTCCCCCACTCTTGCCAACTCCCTTCAAGCTTCCCCCACTCCGAGCAGGCACGGCTCAAGGTATTGCCGATATGAAGCGCCACGGGTTACTACGCTGATAATCAATCGAATTAGTTTAATCTACGATGGCCCTTTTTTCAGCCAACGAATCTTGCCTAACATCCTTACGTCGTGTCGCATTAAAGAGAATTTTAATTCAATTTATTCTCCATCCTTCCTCGATTTTTTCTCGATATACGATAATTGATTGAAATTTAATCATACGTGCTTTTTCCCGTTACTATCTTTGCGAAATAATTCTATATATTTAACGATGATAAAAATAGGAAGATTTTATGTAATAGAAGATAAAGAAGAATTTAAGTAAAATAACGTAACATGTAAATTGATTATTTTAGAGTAACGTGATTCGATAAGGAAGAGTTGAAATTTATAAACATGTAAGATACAAAGTAAAAACTTGTTCGGAAATAGATACGAGAGTAGCTTCTTTATGACTCAGGTTTGACCCAGTATTCGTCGCACGCGTGACAAATTTTTCATAGCTTGACCATGCTGGAGTTTCTTTTAGAGCGAACAACCCTGGAGCTATTCACTGATTTAGTAGATTGCAAACGGATTTTGTTCCTCGGATCTTCTAGAAACGAAACAAGCGTATTTTAATCTACGAAAAGATTTATAGAATACGGAATAACAAGGATAATCGAATATTTACGTTAAAATATATCACGAGATATTAGGATGTCTGATTCCATATTTGCCAGAAAGCACACCCGATACGCGCGTATATCAAGGTTTTAAGGATAAAGAGAAAAAGAGGGTAAAACACATGTTCATCATAAATTTACATCCACCGCTCTCTCACGAAGCTATAGGATTGCATCTACATCCTGTAACGCGGTCACAAAAAGCCCGGAACAAGGGGGAGGATGAGCTCAACTAGTATTACGTAATCCTCGTATTCGCTAATCTGATTACAAGATAGCTAATTCGTAAGCACCGTAGAATTTCATGTGTAATAAATTCTGGAAGATCAACGTCTCGTTCATCTCTAACAAGCTTCGATACGAAGAAGAATAACTCGTTTTCAAAAAGAAAATCAATTTTATTAAAATTAACCAAATCGTAATTCATACTTATACACGCTATTCCAAGTTATTAATATTAAACGAATCCTGTAATAAAAGATTTACAAAAATATTACCCCTTAACATTTGCCCATCCCTCAAGACTCTTTCATTTCCTTTGCACTGCCCGCAGCTAAAGGTTGCCCTGATTCCTTTCTATTTCTAGACTGATATGCCATGGAACTGCGGAAACGTCTCGGCTTACTTAACAAAAAATTATATAAATTACCTTCTCGGTATTACGAATAAAAGAACATGCTATTATTTTATAAGAATTCTAGATCATAAGATAAATTCCGGCTTAAGCAATTCTATTTAACGAGACTGTAATATCATTCCCTGCTTATTTAAGCGGAAATCTGTACGTCACAATTAAACGTTATCTGTCTACGTTGAGAAGCAATACAATAACCATGGTAAAAGAGCTATTCCATTCTTTTAAAAGCCTCGCTTTGCGTGTGCGTTTCAGTACAGATAACGGAGAATGCCACTTACACCGTGTCATTCTTCCTCCTTAACGAATCGAGGTACAAAATCCTGTCCGACATAATAACCAAACATTTATCGAGTCTCCGTGTCCTAAAAAGTTTCCAAGTTCTACAAAGTAATAAATAAACGTGAATTAATCTCGTAACAAAGGTAACGTTACTTAACGTAAACTAACCTACAATAATTCCCAACGAAATTACCATGGCAATCTTCCAATTCCAAAGCCGTAAAGGATATCCGATAATCGGAAAAAAAAACTCATTTCACGAGCATCTCCACGCGCTCGTATCGGTTAAGTTAAGAAAGTCGAATCACGTCCCAGATATCGCGAAGAAAGTTCGGAAGCGGTCCAACGTGCATTTTCGGGCCGGTCGACCAGCGTACCGAACTTTCCACATTCATCGAACACTTCTTCCGGTGTCTTAGCCAACCGTGGGACTTCCTCCCGTATCGCGATCCATTGCAGCAATCGCACCAGGCTGCACAGTTTCGCGCTTGTTCCTCGAATTCGGCACAGCTGAGCCGACTTCGGCACCGCTCGGCCACAATCGCAGGCGATGCATCGATTTTCCGCCGTTACTGCAGCTACGATGCATCGCCTTTGCACCGTGACCGCGTTGACACTTGCCAACTTTCCTTCTGAAACCTTTCATCTTCCTTCACTTCTGTTCTTCTGGAAAAAAAATGATCATGCGTAATATGTGAAGAAAATATTCAACGTAAAATTTTTATAATATCCGTAAATAATGAAATATTCATAACCTAAATCGATTTGGAAAAAATATGATACACAAAATGTCAGCTTTGCGTACACGTAGACAAGAGATCGAAGCTAGATTATTTCCCTTCGTGTTCTAATTATTTAGTTTTGTTAATGTACTGAACATAAAATTATTACATATTGATTCGAGTCTATGCGAATCTAACATGTTCTTAAATCGAAAAGTTGTAAGGGCGAGGTAGCATGGCGAGCTTCATTAAAAATATTGCTTTTAATTACCGACGAGAAAGTTCCTTTATTCAGTGGTTGAAAGAGCTAGCTAACCATTAGTGTTAATCAATTTCCAAGAGGATTTATTGCCCTATTACGAAAAACTTTTTAGGCTCACGTACTTCTTTTTTCATTTACAAGAAACTTTCGCGCCATTTCATCGCCTTATACTAACGATGAACTGGAACTTTTCAGATTTATAACGTGCGGCTAAACTGCAACTGTAACAAATCAAATACGATTCTTATTTTTAAGATATATTTTGATTGAGTATAATTATAGATAATCGAACAAAGATAAAACCTTCGTTGATTTTACATCAATCGATCGAAAATAAAACGAAAGAATCGAAATTTCGATGCACGTATGTATCATTTCTCCGGATTACATAACCTAACGTAACCTCTTCGCTTGGATCGTACCCTCCACCGAAACCTTTGCTCACCTCGACACACAAGGTGTTAACCAACACCGCTTTTATCACGTTGTACCTAAGCAACACGAGTAGCATCGAAACAACTGACATCAAAAATACCCACCAAATAAAATTAAAGAAACATTTACACCCACGGACATACGAGCCATAATTCTTCCCTGATCGTTGCAACATAAGACGAAACTCGTCTCTGCATTGTCGTTAAATCCAATCCATGGAAACCGTTATTAAAGGCAATCTAATTGTTGGCTCGGTTGTAACCGGAGATTAGGGTCAGGGTGAAGTTCAATTCAGCCGCAGGAATGAAAAGATGCTGCAGGTGGAGACGGGCAGAGTAACATTAAACAACTGTACGACTGGTTCCTCTAGATTTCACGCTGCTTTCCGACAGGTAGTGCCCTCGGGACACACACCGAAAGAACCAGATGGGAAACTCGATGTATCGTTCCGGACAAACCCTGTCATTGAAACTGATCGTTCCACGCGGGAGGTAGAGGTCCTTGCGTCTTATTCACGATGCGACTACTTCTGACCAATCATCTCGCATCTTGAATGAGCCACCTGCAGTTACCAGAGAGAATACGGATGTATGATAAATTTGAATCGTTCGACTGGGTTGTTACCTAATCCTTTTAGTGGTACCGATCAGGGCTTCGTCGATCGTATCTAACCTCTTCGATCACAAATCGTTTCTTCGTTTTGTACCCAACGAAGTTAAAGCACACGATGAGAGCAAGAAAGGTGTCAGGTTTGATCGGCATCTGAAAATTCTAAAGGGTTTTTGTAGAAGATTGCTTCGGTAAAAGATGGTCGAATAAATTACTCGCAAGGATAAATACTCGAATGTCACGAACTGATTGCGAGGTGTAAAAAGAAAAAAATTTCGAAAGTAAATACGAGTAATCATTCGATAAACGATATTTATCAAAACGTAGATAGTAGAAAATTAGCAAACACGAGCAGTTAGAAATATCAATTTGGATAGAGGTTAGGGTAACCTCTTTATCTGCTCTCGAAAGTGAGTATCCGTCAATTGGATGTTTTTATTTAACACTAAAGCTACTTGATCGAGAGATAAGGAAGTTATGTAACGTTCGTAGATAATGCGAATTCTTACGACTAACCAAACAGGTGATTAACCTACGAATTACGATCGAACTTACACACGTTGGATAATAGCCTCGAAATAGATACACAGTTTAATTTTCACTGAATAACGAACTCTTTTAAATAGAATTTTCCAGATTTCTCTCTTCTCTGGGTCGCATGAACAATGTAGTATTTCGTCGCGCGGATTTCTTTGTGGGAAGAATAGAAGCACGGAAGCGAGAGCATGCGAATCAAAGTACGCCTCGCGGAAAGATAGGGGTTGTTCAAGGATACTAGAGTTTGATGGTGGCCCAAAGTATTCTTGTAATACTCGACCCAATTTCGTTCTCCGTCGTGTAATTACTAAGCGAGTAAGAAAGTTAACGTGCATTCGTCTGCTTCTGAGACAAGCGTCGTTCGCCCTGCATCGACATCGACTTCTATCGATATCTCGAAAACAATCTAGCTCACTCGAGAAAGCGAAAACGTAGTATATACACAAATAACATTAACGGAGTTATAACGATTTTTACCCAGTATCTGAAGAATATAGATCTATGGAACACCGGGAATATAATTTTAACGATAATGTATTTTATGCAATGGTAAAAATAAAAATTCCGAAAAAATTGGTTTCGACTTGTCTGCTAGTTGTAGTGATAATAGTATCATTAAGAATATGATTTTTCGCGTTCAATTCTTCTAAACCGAAAAATCATGAGTCAGAATGGTACTATTCGATATCAGTTGTGTTGCATACGGTGCATAAAATTACGTACGTCGGACATCTTATCGCCGATCCGTGTCGTCATGCGCAGTTGAACTTTCGACGGACACCGATTTTGCGTATCTAGTTGAACTATTCGATAAAATCGATTCGGTTGCCTTCTTTGCTCGGAGGAAAAAGGAGTGACGACTGGGGAGGAGAGAAAAAAATAAAAGAGGAAGATAGTGGAAGGGGGAAAAACGAACGCGGTCGTTCAAACACGCATCGATATTCCTTGTGCTCTCCATCTTGTCGTCATGATATAAAATACCAACTGAAAAAGGAGCGCTGAATGGCCAATGCCGGACTAAAAACCGGACTTGCTCTCGTTACGCGACGCCAAAGAAACGAAACAGTTGGCTGCGGCACAGTGCAGGTGGGTTGCCAGATGGTCAGAACGAAAACAGTGAATGAAGAAACGAAAAGAAACGAAAAGGCGTCGTTGGTCACATCGTGCGGGCGCATGCGGACGACAAGACAAACGCAACCGTGCGAACTGAATACCAATTCCTACTTCCGGTCGCGCGATTCCATTTCATTTCGTTTCGTCTAACGCATTGTAAAGTTTCAGATGTGACATTCAATTATAGACATGTCGAATTTTAAAAATGAGATAACAATAATGGAACTTGTAAATTTTATTTTTCGTAGGAACCAATTGGTAAATAATATTTGTGTATTAATAAAGATTACTGTTTGAGTTTTCTGTTTAAATTTGTGTAACTTCTTAATCTTCATCTTTTAATAGTTATAATATCTTAAAATTATTAAATATACGATTGTTATTATTTTTTTAATAATAATTTATTGTATTATTTGTAATTTTGATTGTTTTAGATGTTCTGATTTATGTATTTCACTTTTTAATCGTAAAAATAAAATGTGAAAAAATATATTTCATCTGGCTCCGACCGGAATCGAACCGGCGATCTTCTGCGCGTAAAGCAGACGTGATAACCGCTACACCACGGAACCTGTTGTGAGTACTTATTATAGTATTTTATATGAATAATTTTTTTATAAATATACTGCATAGAATTTAAAAAAAAATGTAACATTTTATATGAAAATTGTAAGTTAAAAAATATAACAAGTAATTAAAACTAGTTGAAATATATTTATCTCAATCACATCTTTTATACATAATTACATTTATCTATGATTTCTAAAAATTAAGTTATTCTGTCAACGTCAAATATTTTCTATAAAATATATTTTATAACTTCTTTTAACTAATCTAACAGTATATCAATAATCAACTTAAAATATATTGTAATTAAAATACAAATAAGAAAAAAAATACGAAACATGAGTGACGAATGCAATTAGCAATTTTAGGTACGAAATTTCCAATCTCACATAATTAACGTTTATCATTTTCATACTTAAATACTTAACCACTAATGAGATGTAAACTCGTATTTAATTATCAAAATCTAATCGTCACATTTCCTACTATTACTACTGTGCACTATAGAGTTAAATGTACCTATACTATTTTCCTATTAAAAGTATATTGTACCTATTATATAATTTGAAAACAGTTATTCAATTTTGAAAATTAAAACGTCTTATGGGATATAACTTTGTTAATAAATACACAATAGATATGGTTACTTATAGATTTTTATTACTGGTATAAATGGTATAAAGTCGAATACAATTAACAAAATGATGTTCCGGATGATGGAGCAGATACATTTTGCATTAACATAGAGTTTTATTTCTTTTTTTGCCATATTAAGTAATAGAAAACTTAGTATACATATCAGAAAATATTTTCCTGTCAAATGAATGAATTTAAACATTATATACGATGGGCACCACACTCCTACTGCATCCGGGTTTGTACTTAAAAATAAATACTATTACCTACTAAAAAAAAAGATCTCTTTTTTTACATTTAAAAAGGCACGATAACGACTAGGTAGAAACAAATGATACGCCAAAAACAATTCGATCTCGCTGAAATGATTACTCGTGCTCCTTATCCAATAAAGTAGTAACTCTGATATAACGGACAAGTAAGTTTTGTACGAAGTGCAAATATATAAATGCAATAATTGTTTCATTCATTATGAAACTCTTTGTTAAATTTGATTTAAACATTATATTACAGAATATTTTCTCATATGTTGTACATATCTCTATAAATATAAAGTACTAACATGGTGGTGTGAATTCTGTTTTTAATTTCTTCTTTATTGTTTTCTTAAGCAAAATATATCATTCGAAACATTATATGAATTTTTTATGTTAATGAAATTTTAGAGCCTCGATTTCTAAATGAGACTCTTTCAAGTGCTTTTCTGTACTTTTTTCAAGCATTTTTAAAACGTGCTGTTAGAATTCTTAAGATTACATTATGAATTTATTTTCACATAAGGCGACAGAATTCCTCTCCTTGGGGATCGCCCTGAAACAAAGAAAATGGTCGTACTTATGTAGAAGGAAACATTAAAATGTCACTCAATAATCCTGACTAGCATGACGTGATTGTATTATATCATAATATATATTATTCGACAATTATTAGTTACAGAATCTGAAGACAATATTAATGAATGTTAATTTTTGAAGATGAATATTATACGCTTATTTTTGCATGTGTGTAACGATATGCAGACGTATAATTATAAAAATATATACGTACGTATATTATATTTATTTGTATTGCTAACAAAAATATGTAGCTATTTTACGACTTGAATATAAATTCTTATATAGATTTATATTTAAATAGATCTTTTTATTCTGTAAATAGAATTTAACGAATGATATATACTTTTTGAATAGATTGGACGTAACAGTAAAATCATTTGATGAAATTACGTTCTGATACGAAAAATACACGAATTTAGTAGAATATTTTAAATAGATTTTCATCAACTGAATTCACTTAGTTAACTCGAACGTTTACTGGTTAAAGAAATGTTCATGCAAGCATCAAACTGACAAAATTTTTAATAAGCCCCGTATAAACGTAAATGAAAAATAGTTATTGTTTATTTTTCGTATATAACAAAATTTTGACATTCATAAATTTTAACCAATTCAATAAATTGATACAGCAGCAATAAAATAATGAGAACTATATGTTAATAAGTTTTAGTAGTTTAATATTTTAGTTGATATAAGTATAAAAAAATAATAATACTAATAGTATTGCATTAATAATAATACCAGTGGCAAGAAAAAATATCGAACAATAACTGTACATTTATGTACACAATGAATGGATATACTGTCTAAACATGTTTCTTAAAGACAATGTGGTTAACTAATGAGATGTTTATATTTTAACAAAAAATTACATTATTTCTAACATTCATGAAGTTTTAGTTAAGCGTGAGCATGAAAATAAAGTGCTGTGGAGAAGAAAAAACGAAGCCAAATAATTCCATTTATTTAAAGCGCGAATGACATTGATCATCGACGACTATTTTAACGTTCGATAAGTTGAAAACAACTTACATAAATCGACCCATCAGAACCATTCGCTCGCCCACTTAATATGGGTAGAGATATCTTCTCTATGGAATAAGAAGATACGTTGATGACACATGTCCCGATTTTGTTTTATATTTATAATATTACATCTAACAATAAAATCAATTTAAACAAAATATAAATATTTTAAAGAAAATTAGTATACAAATTTTGTAACACAGGTATAAAGAGATCAAAATATTTTATAGCCACATTGTCTTCGTTAAATAAATACGATTGTTGGAAAGAAATAATTTTTTTCAAATTAAGAAGACATCAATCATTTTGAAATTGGTTTTTAAATTTTCATTTCAACAATAGATAATTATACAGTAATTCTTAAGGGTCATTTCTGCAGTATTTCCTATTTGTACTTTCTTTTTTTTTTTTTT